TTCTTTTCCCGGTTGTTGCCAGGTGTCTTCACGCATTGTACAAATACCTATCCGCCCAGTGTGTGGCCACCCCAAACACTATCTCCACCCGCCGATGTCTTACTCAGCGTTAATCCCTTCTTCATTTGATTGCATCACATTGAAGCGGTTACGGCTGGTGCGTCCGCGCTCATATTCGTACAGCAAAGCGGCGCAATTGAGGTCGGTTTCGTCCACCCATGTCGGTTGGTCATAGCATTTCCAATAGACCTGGAATTCTCGGTGCACCCGCCCATAGCGGGTGCGTCTCCCTGACCGCACATCCGTGATCCGTTCTACTTCGAATTCGTCTTCACCCAGTGGAGTTTCCCAGCTATCGTCTGGCAACAATTCCTCATCAAAATCTACCCGGTCATCGTCTTCGGTGTTCAAAATAACCTTTGGTCGGTCTGGGAATGTCCGTACTGGCTTCAGCTTCGACAGGTGTACTATCGGGAAGAAGCGATACCCTGAGTCGGCGGTCTGGCGACGGGCTGCGTGATTGCCGATCAGCTCGGATTCGCGAAACGGTCCATGCCACATGTGTGCACGCTTGCGGGCGTAACCTTCCTTTACGCGATCCAGGTAAAGTCATACCTGTGTGCCTTCCTCAATCCGGTGCGGTCTAACGTTTTCGTTGTGCTGGTCAGTCCTAGATTTGATCGCATCGCGTAGATTCTCGTTGACTGCTTCCCTGGCTCTGCGGTACTGTCCCTGTATGTGATATCTCCATCTCCGTGCATCGCAGTCACGACGGCGTGTCGATCCCACCGATACAACCGCTTCCAGTGTCGACCGCGGGTACCATCCATGGACTAGGAAGAACGACGTTTCTCCCCTCACTTGATCGTGTGCCGTATTCAGCGCAAACATCAGCCGCTCCGCATAGTCGTCCAAGTCTTGCTGGTTGACGTCTGCAACGTACAGCTACAGGGCTCGTGTCAGGGTTTGTACCGTTCTCTCAGCCTTGCCGTTCCCTTGTAGACGGTAAGCCACTGTTGCGCTCTGCCTCATTTTCACGATCCGGTTGAAGGCACGGAAAAAGTCCGAC